CCTGTTTTGTCCGGTCAAAAACGTCTCTTCAATCATAGCGTCTGTAACGTTTCCCATTCCAGTGACACGTGGCAGGCTCTGATTGGCTAAGGACGGCTGTCACGCCGTCTTCGTGCTTTGTGATCTTGAAACAGTTCCCGCCCAAATTTTGGGCTCTCTAACAAAAGTGATCCCTGAGGCTAGGGTATCTTCACTTTTACTATTCCTTCATCCTCTCTCTCTGCTTTTTTGCTGCTCGAGTTCTTCTTTCTACTGCAACAGATTTTCAACTTTAGTCCCTTCTTTAACCTGGTAAACAAATTCTCTTTCCTTCTTGTTCTGTTTTGCTTTCGTATCTGCATAGCTTTGTTTTGTAGAACTTTTAGTGACTAAAAAATTAGTAGCCAAAATGTCACTATTGCCGACTAAGTATGGATTCGTAGCCAAATGTTAACTTTCGGTGACTAATTCTTTCGTAGCAAAAAGTAACACATTCGCCGACCAAATGAATGTTAGTAGCCAAAAGTCACATTCGGCGACTAATACTTTAGTGGCGGAAACATACCTTTTGCCGACTAAACTAAGATTAGTAGCCAAATGTGTACACTTTCGGTGACTAAACAAATTTTAGTCGCCAATACTATCGCCGACAGGGTAAAGGCGACGAGCTTAGCGACAAAAAATTTTGGTCGCTAAATGGTTTCGGCGACCAAATTTTGGACTTTTGGCGACCAATATTTTGGTAGCCAAAAGTGACATTTCTTGTAGTGAAAAATGTAAAACACAAGACTTAAAAGGCCCGTTCGGGGGCTAAAATTGCAAAATGACCACTGAAACCACCGAAACTTGGCACGAGTAGCTTATTCAAGCCTAAATAGAGTTGTATGAGCAAACAGCACCCGATTGGACTTCCCATTACAAAATTAAAATCAAAATTGTGAAGTTCATATCGAGATTTTTTTTTTTTTTTTTGTCAATCTAATATTGTTTTTTCTTTTTTCATGTGACAGATTGGCAATGGTGGAAAATAGTTTGGGCTGCATCAGAAGATTTGATTTTGTGTTTTGGAAATATTTTGACATAGGATTTTGGTAAATGATTTATGGATTAAATGTTTAGCATCAAAATATTTGGTGTTGTGTTTTTGCAAATATTTTGACATAAGATTTTAGTAAATGACTTGTTGGTTAGATGTTTAACATCAAAATATTTGGTTATAATTTTGAAAATATTTTGACATAGGATTTGGTAATGTATTTATGGGTTTGATGTTAGTAGTTTGTAAGTACTTTGGTATGCATGTTTTAGATTGTCAGAGAATTGTAATTATGTTTATTGAGATTTTTCATAGCTATTAATTTTGAATTAGTATGAATGTCTTGCACAGGTATATTATTATTTACATTACATTTGTGTATATATTGTGCACAGGAAAATAGGTGTTTTGAATTATTTTGAACGAGAAAATTATTAAAATCAAAATTTGCGTACTGAATTTTTAGTGACAGGTGGTATTTTGGTCGCTGTTAATTATTTGGCGACAAAATATTGTTTTTGTCGCTAAAAGTTAGTGGTTATTCCAAGAACTTTTAGCAACCAAAACTTACTCGTCGCTAAAAACGTGATTTTTAGCGACCAAATTAATTTTGTCGTTAAATAATACTTTTGGCGACGCATTTATTTGTCGCTAAAACTACATAGCCTATCCAAATTTTAACCTTTTAGCAACAAATTGTAATTTTATAGCGACAAAATATATGATTTTTGGCGACCAATTTTGCTTGTCACTAAATGTCTACATACGGTGACAATTTCTGATTTCGTCGCCAATACTTTTAGTGACAGGCCTTTCGCGACAAGTTGTATATTTGTCGCGGATTCTTTTGGCGACGGAATTTGTACTTTTGGCGACAAATTTTTAGGTCGCCAAATGTGTTTTTTGTTGTAGTGTTTTTTATGTCATGTGACAATTAACGTGACATTTTTGTTTAATTTTAAACGTAAGTTAACTTTAAGTGCAAATTAAGAAAAAAAACTGAAACATAAAAGGCTAAATTGAAAGGAAAAAAAAAAAGCATTAAGGATCAAAGTGAAAAAATGACTAAATATAAAGGTGATAAAATGTAATTTACCCTAATTAAAATTATAAACATCTTCACTAATGTGTAATAATTTTTAAAAGGGTACTCAACTCATAAATTCAAAATTGAATTTCTGTTGTCCAAAAGCCTACATGTTAAACAATTTAGTCCATCACAAGGACATAATTTTGCGAAATGACTAAACTACATATCATATACTCCTCTGTTTTTTGTTCGAATTAACATCATATCATTACAATATATAAGAATTTTAGTGACTAATTTTTTTGGTTCCTAAAAGTGAAAATTTTGTTATAAAAGATATTTAGGGACCAATTTCTATCGTCATGAAGATAGTTGTTAAAAAGTCGTCCCGAAAAATCACAAACAATGGCTTTTGCGACAAAATTTTAAAAATGTCACCAATAAATACACTTTTAGAGACAAATTAATTTGGTCTAAAAAAAGGTTTATTTTTTAAGACAAAAAATGTGGTTCCAAAAAAGATGATAATTTATCACTAATGTCTAATTTTTGTTGTTAAAAATATAATAACGACAATTTTCGCAACAAAAATATTTGATCCCTAAAAAATAATTTTACCCTTAAATTTTAATCTCTAAAACTTTAATTTTTTTTTGTAGTCTCTCTCTCTCTATGAGAACTCTCGTCAATCTCTCCTTGCAAGCTTTCTTTTCTTTTTGAAAATGACGAAGTATAGTTCAAACAGTAGCCTCATCTGAAAATAATAATATTTAACCTTTAAATTCATCACTTTTTTCTTTGCTCATAATCATCACATCCATGAAAGTTTTCATATCAAAACTGCCTAAATCGTCTGAAATTTTCAGATCTGAAATAGTGTTGATTATGGAACTCGGAATTTTTTATCCGAGAGGGTTTGGAGAGGTTTGATCAGAGGGTAACCTTCTTCTTCTTGTTGTTGATTGCAAAAGATAAAACAAATTAACGAATAGAACCTCTCTCTCTCTTTCTCTCTCTCTCTTCCCCCTCTCTCTCTGTATATCTGTGTTATACTTGAGTATTGGTGGTGGGGAATTTCAAAAGATAGCAAAAACAAGTTTGTGATTTTGAACAAATCACTCTTTCATCTCTCCAAAAGGGTCATATTTGTTCAAAAAATTAAACAGATAGGTTGAGAATGGTTCAAAAAATT